TGAATGTGTGTGTTGAGAGAGTGAGGAAGCTAGAAAAGCAGGAAAAGATCAGGAAATATATAAACATTCCCAGTTACAAATTTTAAAGCTGATACCCTTGCAAGGTTGATTGAAGGTTTGAAAGACTTGCCGAGACCAACTGATTGCTGCTTTTTTCTGCCAGCTGTCCAGATACCATGGAACTGAAAATCTAAAAAAAGCAACATTTGAGAAAGTGGATTTGTAAAAAGTGATGATGGGGAATTTTGTGGAGATAATTTGGTTGTTTTTTTGATAGAAAATGTTGCCTACTCAATAACAGTGTGAATTTTGGTATGTTTGTGCTGTCTTCCTTTTTGGGTTGTGTCAACCTGAATTGACACATTTGGCTCATCACACTGAGCAGAAATACTCTGTGTGAACTCAGTATTAACCTGCAGCCCTCTGGACATCCACCTTCATGCAAGCTGAAGGTCACTACCTCTCATCCTGGATTTGTACTGTAGGTCAGATTCTTGGCCAGAATGAAATTCAGAATACACTAAAGTACACTGACCTGTTTTGTTTGAACCCTGGGGCAGTAAGATTATAGCATATCCTGAAACAGTTGTCCATCTGGAAAATCAAATACACAGGAGAGATTAGGGGCCTGAAGCATTCAAACTAAAACTCCTGGGAGGCTCTCCAGCTGTCAAGGAAGCTGATCAGTGTTGGACCATGCTGGAACAACATGTTTTGACATTTCCAAAGCATATTTTAATGGCATATTCTGTAATACACACACATTAATCTATTAATTACTGCTGGCTCAATTAAGCTAAAAACAAATGTGTAATAATTTAACTATATATTTTATCCAGTTCTAGTAGTGCTGGATGACATTAAATATGCTGCAATTGTATCATTTACACTGCTTGTGTATATTCTGAAAATTTCCAGACAGATCTGGATTAGCAGAAAGAGGAGGTTAACAGCAATATATGAAATTCAACAAAGACAAATGCAAGGCCTTGCACCTGGGAAAGCAAAATCCAGGATTGCAGCACGGGCTGGAATCTGCCTGGATGGGTGGAAGCTTTGTGGAGGCCCTGGAGGTCCCGGTGGACAGCAAGGGCAGAATGAGTGATCAGTGTGCAGCCGGAGGCTGAGCTGCATCCACCACAGCATCCCCGTCAGAGACTGGGAACTCATCATCCCACTCTACTGAGCCAGCAGAATGGAATTGTAGGGCCAGGAATGGCCCCAGTATGCAGTACTGTGAATGCCAGGTCTGGCTATACAAAAATATGTGGAATGGCTGGACAGAGCCCAAAGGGCAGCCACAAAGATGAGCAAAGGAGGGGAAAGCCTGACATGTGGGAAAAGGCTGAGAGAACTGAGTGCGTTCAACTGTGAGAAAAGAGGGCCTGGGGGAGACAGCTTTACCATGTTCCAGTGTTTAAAGGATGCCAACAAAGATCAAACTCCTTTCTTACAGGAGTCACATGGAAAAGTTGAGGGGTGATGGGTACAAGTGACTCCTGGGGAGATTCCAATTAAGATGAAAAGTTTATAAGAATAATCTCCCCAAGGAAGTGGTGGATTCCCTGACATTGGACACTTCTAGAATTCATCTGGACAGGATGCTGGACCATCTTCTTTAGACTGTGCTTTTGTCAAGAAAAGCTGGACCAGATGATCCTGAGGTCTCTTCCAACCTGGTACTCTATGAGTCTGTGATTATGAGCTGAGGTTATCAAAAGTGCAAGGAGTTGTTCTTACAAAGATGGAGAATAAAATTACATTGACTAGAAATTCAATATAGCCCTTGAAACTAGGTTTTGTTTCAATACAAGTTTTTCATTGCTATGAACTTTTACCAGCTAGGCAAAATTACAAGAATAGTCCATGATCTTCCATAAATCTTTAATTAATCTTTAATTAATGCTGAGTAGGTAGGCTCAGATGCTTCTGAGCAGTTTCTAAGCAAACTAGAGCATTAGAGTCTACTTGTTCAGAAGTCCCATGAAGATATATCATATTGATCTATCTAGATATTCAATAATTCACCATGAATTCCTCCATCTTCCATCATTAGCATTGCTTCACTTCTTAAGCCGCATTGTGGTGTTTCAAATCTGGCAATGTGATTAGGAAGTAGGAGTAGATACACATTGTAGCTGATATTTTCCTATACTTCTCTTTTCATTTAGTCTCTGCCTAAATTAAATTGTAAACTTGACTCAAATCTTTACAAATATATCTTCTGCAGAGGAATGTGAGCTGTTTCTGTGTGATAGTTTTACTGCTACTTTTATTTCAATTGTTTCAAGCAGAGATATCACCTGTGCAGATATTTTATCTTTTAGTAGGGATGTTGGCTCTGGTTGTTCAATCAGTGAAAATTCATGTGCAATGCAAGCCGAAGTCCAAAGAAAAGGTGATCTTAGACTAGATTTCATCTCTTTTACCATGGTATGAAATAACTTTGATGGTAACTGACCTTGGCTTCTGACACATGCTTGTTGCTGAGGAAAATGAAGATAATGGAATGAAATCAAACTCTGGCTTGGCCTGGCTTGACCTCCACATGTTTGTCACATCCCCTGGCTTCTCCTGGCAAACTGAGGCATCAGACTCCCTTTGGCAGACTTGGCTATATCAGAGGTTGCTGTTGCGGCTTCTGTTGCAGCTAAAAAAGATGGAGTCAACATTATCAATGGAATTAAGGAATCAATTAGTCTGATTCCATGTTAACATTTACTTTCTGATTAGATTAATGTATTTTTTTTTACTTTTTTTTAACTGAAAACAAGGTACCCATTGATTGTAAAGGGTAATTAGAGTGACGACCTGCTCAGAGGTTCATGCTGGTGTTTTCTGACAGATTTTATGAGACAAATCCCACCCCAAATATAGGATCCTTCAAAGTGTGTGGCACAGCTAGCAATGGAAGGCATTGAATAATACAGGCCCCCTCACTCTCCTCCACATGTACACTTTTATTAACCAGCCACCAAAACACAATATTTCCTAAATGGCTAGTTACTCAGACTTCAAGAATCTGTTGGCAGGTCCACTATGGGCCAGTTTAACTCTCCACTCCAGGATTGCTTTCTGGAAACAAAAATGAGCTATCAAAGCTGGAACAGGAGTCAATAGCAAACAACATGGTTGCATGTAAGCTCCTCTCTCAGCAATACACACAGACATTCACAAATAAATATTTCCTCACTAATTCTCTTTGTAATGACAACAACAACAAATCTAACACAAAGCATACCTCCTGCCTTTTTCAATAACACATCAAATCCTCCAGTTTTACTGATATTTCAGTGATGTCAAAACAAAGTAAAATGTTTGTTTGATAACAAGAAAATCGAACAGCACATCAAACAGAATTACGATACTCTAATCCACACACTTTATCTCATCACAGTCAATATAGCACACACTGTGAATGTATTAAGAAAGCCAGATGCATTTATTATTGTCAGTGTGACAAGGAAGCCTCTTACTGTTGACATTAAAGTAAATAACAAATACTTTAAAATAGATTGTAATTACTAGGAAATTAATTTTGGACTTCCTGTTGCAAAATATTGCTAACTACATCTTAATATGTGCTGCTTTGCATGATTATTTAACAAATGACCGGGGGTGAAATGTCAAGCTAAAGGACTTGGTGCAATACACACATTTGTTCCCAAACTTAGAATAGCAAACATTTGACTTTTAGTAAAAAGATTTTTATTAGACCATTTCAAGTCAATTTATGATGATAACAAAATGCAGTAACACCTGGTAGATGCACACAGACATCACAGTTATGCACTGATGGAGGCCAAGATTTCTGAATCTTCCTAAGACTTTCTAGATCCTTGTAGTTTAGATTGGATTTTAGGAACAATCCTTCACAGAAAGGGTTGTCAAGCATTGGAACAAGTTGCCTAAAGAAGTGGTTGGGTCACCACTACTGAAGGTGTTTAAAAGGTGTGTAGATGTGACACCTGGGGAAATGGTTTAGTGGTGGATTGGTAGTGGTGGGTTAATGGTTGAACTCAATGATTTTGCATGTCTTTTCAAATGTAAAAATCTTCTAAGATTTAAAACAGAATGAAAAAAAAGAAAGAAAAAAAGAAAACAAAACCAAACCCAAAACAAAGAAGATTGCAACACATTGATTCCTTATAGTTCTATCCCAAAACTGTGGATTCATCTCGAAAAAAAAAGTATGCGATTAATTTCCTAAGCATTTGCCCACAGCATTTTGCTGTTACATCACCACTTCTAAGGGAAAGAAAATCAGAAAAGAAGAAGTAGCAATGTCAACATACTCCGAACCTACTACAAAGATGATAGATAATACCGTCCCTTTAAGAAAGACTTAGAGGATGTGAAAATGAAGGATAGCATCTGGGAAAAAAAAATTCCAATTTAACCTGAATTCCTTGTTCTCATCCCCAGTAATGCGTATTACTGACTGCTGTGAAAAGAGTGGTTTCCTGACCTCTAGCCTAGAAACAAGTACATTCTGCAATGTACTGTGCCCCCCACTCATATCACAGAACTGCAGAATCACCTGGGGTTCAGTGAGACCTCCAGGTGTCATCTCACCCAATAGCCCTGCTCAAGCATGGCCATCTCAGGCTGATTGTCCAAGACCATGTCTAGATGGCTTTGGAATATCTCCAAAGATTGACAGTCCACAATACCTCTGGACAGCCTGTACCAGTGCCCAGTCAGCCTCAAAAAAAAAATATTTGGTCAGATGGAACCTCTTGTATTTCATTTTGTACCCATTTTATGCCTCTGGTTCTACCACTGGGCATCACTGAAGAGAGCCTGCCTCTGTTTTCTTCACATCCTCCCTTAAGATTTTTATATAAATTTGCTATATATTACCTATATTTATAATAATATTATTTGCATTGTATTAAAATCATTATATAGATGTATTGTGCATTTATGTTCCTTTGAGCCTTCTCTTCTCTGGGCTGAACCATCCCGACTGTCCCAGGTTTTCATCATCAGAGAGACGCTGCAGTCCCTCCATCAGTCTCTCTGGAGATTGGATAATCTTCATTATGCTCCTGTCCCTCCTGAGACATGCACAGTCCTCCAGGTGTCCTCCCACCAGTGCTGAGGAGAGAGGAGGGAACATCTCCCTGGAGCTGCTGGCAATACTTTGCCTAAAAGGCATCTGAGGAGTCTTTCAGTGCTGCAAGGACACTCTGCTGGCTCATGTTCACCTTGTGTCCACCAGGAACCTCAGGTATTTTTCTGCACAGCTGCTTTGTAGCTGGGCAATCCCCAGCATATATTGGTGCATGAGGCTCCTCCCCAGATGCAGGATTTATTTTTTTCCCTTTGTTAAACTGCATGAGGTTCCTGTCTGCCAATTTCTCCAGCTTGTATATGTGTGAGATGAATCCTTATCTTTTCCAGACAGCATCCTTAGGAGTATGCTGCAAGCTGCAAATTTTAATCAAAGCTTCTCTCTTTCACTCATATTTCAGACACTCAGTTATTTCATAACACAGCAGTGACTGGTCATATTTATAGATGAACTCTGAATAGAGCAGAGGCAAATTATGAATGGCCAAGTGCTCAGACAGCATGGCCATTGACCTACTTTTTATTATGGTGGTGTTTGTTCTCTTATTCAATGTCATGGAAGAACACTAATATTTAGTGTGAAAATCAAAGCCTGACAAGTTAAGGGCTTTTTAAACCCATCAAGTTTCCTGGCAATTGGTTGCTTATTCAAAACTTGTTTCCTATGTGTATAGGGAGTAGAAAAAGAATTCTGTTATGTCACTTTTCTGCAAATACAATGGATGCTAGTAATGAAGACCTATACTGAAAATGGTTAGCATCTACAAGGATAGCACTACGAGGATAGTATACAAGAAAAAACTTTTGTTGATTGGCCTAAGACCACAAATCACAAAATGATTTAGTTTGGATGAGAACTCAGGAGGTCATTGAGGATGTCCCTGCTTTCAGTAGGAGGTTGAACCAAAGATAGTTTTGGCTGTTTCATTAAACCTCAAACCCTTGAAGAGCAAGGCTCACATTCTTGTCCAGCTGAAGTTTGAATATCTCCAAGGATAAAGTTTCACAGCTTCTCTGGGTTGCTATCTCAGTGTTGAACATCATCATTGGGGGAGTTTTTTCTTACAAAAGCCAATTTTCCCATATTATACCTCATGTCCATTGCTTCCCTTTTTTCCCCACATTTACAAAAATTAAAGCTATGTTAGCTATGTTATAATGGTTACATAAAGTAAGCATCAGCCAGCTGTCTTGGCTATTACTTATCTGAAGAAATCTGGTGAAAAATGTCACTTTTCACCACTCAAATATTAATCTTGCATAAAAGTGGGATATAAATGTATATTCAGATGTTTTGCATTTTTCTTTTCTATATATATCCTACATAGCCACTTTTTAGAAATTAAAGGAATTTCTACAGTAAATATCAATTACTTGCCTTGAAGAATTCAACTTCTATAATTAAAAGCAATTGTCAATCTTAATGAATGTATCCATCATGTCCCAAAAAATAGTAACTTACTGAATTTCTTCATGGGCTTGACCAGTCCAATGACTCTGCACAGCAATTTCACTGAAATGAATTAAGACAGAATGGCAGACTATGATTTATTGCTCTGTTATTTATTTAGGTCTCTCAATTTTGTAGACATGTTTTTTGGATCATAAAAATATAACTCTGCTCCAACACTTTAAAAACTCACTTGACCTTCAAGTTTTTATATTTTGTTAACCAAATTTGATGCACTTTTTCTTCTCTTCTGGTGATGTTTTGTATCCAAGTCTCTACTTGTTCAGTTACAGACAAGGGGTTTGAATGAAGCAGGACCAACTAGGTTAGACAGATGGCCATTTAAGAGGCATTTTGAAAAACTTTTTAAAAAATAGGCAATGGCCTATATAAATAATTTTCCTCCCTGAAACATATTTTTAACATTAAAGAATAAATCTCAACTGTATTGAAGATCTCATGAAAGGAGTGAAAAAAATATTAGAAGCTATATTCTTAAAAACATGAGGTAACAGAAAATAAACAATGAGAGAAGAAAATTAGGTACAGTTTCTGAAAAGGAAAAGTAGAAGAGATCTGCTGTGGAGCAACACAGCCCAGTGGTCCCTACATAGCTGCTGGTAGCTGGAAGCAATTTGGTCGATTATGCAACCTCTCTGTAAATTGTTTTCCATCATGTTTTCATAGTGCATTTTCCATAAACTGGTCATGTCCTTTTGCTGCCTTCAGCTGATTTGTTTATCTTTCCTCCTTTGTTCATTTGAAGATGCAATAATGGATTCATAAGGAGATGTGGACTGAAGGTCTGTGACAAGAATGCTCATGTCTGTGAACCAGGAAACACTCAAGTGACTGACCAAGAAAATAAATCCCCCCACCCGCATTTCTGTGCAGCACAAGTTACTTGATGCATTTTTCTGATATTTGCATTTTCTGTGTGTCGGTGGATACTCACATCATCCTCCTGCAGAATTCAGACTTATTTATACAATGAGAGGAAAAGACAGATCACCAATTCCATATACATATTTTTTTGTCATTTACAGCCTTTTTTCATTTTAAAAAGATGTAAACTTTCACATGTAAAGCAAGTCTCATAGTTCCATAATTCATCTGTCTATAAACTTTATAGTTCCATAATTCATCTGTCTATAAACTTTATAAAAGGTCCTCTTTTAGATCTCTTATTTTAAGTAGACTTAGTTTAAAAGAAAAAGGAGAACATTAGCTGGGAGAAGGTCTCTGAAAACAGGATTTTTGTTGGTCTAGAAAAGTCATAAGTTACTATTTTCATGAACTTGAGATATTTAAGTGACACATTTTTATAGGGTGCCATTACCATCTCAAATCAATTCCTGATTTTTCTCATTAGGAATTCTTACTAGGCAAAAACTTCTGAAAAGAAGAACTGCTGTGTTCTAACCTCTTTTGTCACACTTATTTCCAAGGACAAATGGGCACTTAGCCATCCACTGGCTGTGAAAAACACTTAACAGAAAGATACCAAACTAATTTTCTTTCACAGAGAGCACTTCCTGCAGCCAATTTATTTTATTTTGCTGCCTATAATAATAATTATTCATTTTTAAACAATGTCTTTTTTAACAAGACCATTTGAGTAAGAAATGTTACACTGACTTGTTACATCACAGAAATAGATATCATGCCATAAAATAAAGATGGCAAAAAGCAGACAATCCCAAAATGCACACAACCATAATAAGACTACATACTTTATAGTTGAGAAAAGGTAATTGAAATGCAACATCCATGCCTTTTACTAATTACTCAAAATAACTTTGAGTATTGACATCACTAAGCATATACACAGGATCACATTAGCTATGGCTGGTTCAAGGCTTTAGCAGATATTTTATTTTCACCATTGTTTACAGAAAACTAATAATTCATTATGGTTGCCTTTTTTTCAGATTTAATGTCTCTTCTTACCTTAAAAGTCTTCCTCACTTAGACTGGAGGGCTCTGATCACCAGTTGGCAGGACCATAAAGTCAGGGTGGTATTGCAGTGTCACAGGATATTCTAGGGGACTCTTGTTTCATATATTTATATAAATGGAGGCCAGCCCCCCTTTTCACAAATCTCAGTATGATGGAGACATCTTTTTGCCACCAATGGACATTTATCTTTCAGGACTTTGAACCTGAGTCCAAAAGAGAAGGAAATCTCTGATCCACTTCCTACAACTTCTACACAAAGGAGATTGAATTGAGACTTGGAGAACGCAATTAAACTACTATGAAGAAATCCAGTGAGATGATTTTGGTCCACAGGCTACAAAATTTGGAAACTTCATGCTGTAACACTGTGTTCAATTCCCATTTAACATACAAGATTATTATTCAAATATTTATCTACAATATAACAAGCATAAAATCTCTGCTTTTCTTCAGCACATTGAATACATACACTAGCTAATGAACTCAGCAGCATCTGCTGCAGTAGGTGTTATTTTGTACATTTTATAGAGGGGAATCAAAATGTGTCATGGTCTTCCTCCTGAATTTTGTGTTACTCTGGCAACACAATGGGACTCCATTTGATTTAACCACCTGACTCAGCCAGGCTTGTGCCTTGTGGGTAGGATGCAAGACACAAGAGAAATTTGCTCACCAGAATGCAGGGGCTGAATCAGTCTCAAAACTGGAAATCTGTCTTTACTCTTTTGGGCTCAAGATTTCCCGATTAGGCCTCAAACCACATCGACTTTACTGTATTTACCTCCTGTGGATTTTAACCTAATAGGACAGTGGTAAGCTTTTGTAAAATGGTACTCAGCACCAGCCAGGACATGATTGTTTCCAGTCTAGTCTCCCTCCTTCCACAAAAAATGCACGAAAGCCCTAACATGAATGTGTGACATGCAGCTGGCCACTGAGCAATGGGACTGTCTGTTCTGAAAGAGTTAAACTCTCATGAATGAAACTTTCTCCTGTCTTCTTCCCGTTAAATCAGAAATGTTCTAGATGGGTAATGTGAAGGTTGGCTCTCACAATTAAAGGGATGAAATTACGTGTATGTTAAGACAGATTTGACTGGCAGAATTTGGGGGGGGGTATAAAAGATATAAAAGGTGGAACATCCATTCTGTGGATGAGCGCATGGTGATTTAGTTCCATGCTCGCAGCACTGTAATTTTAAGTTTCTTTGTTACATCTTAGTGTTGTCTTCCAAGAAACATCTGTGTTAATGAATTTCTATGAGACGTAAAAGTTTTGTTTCTACACCGTATTATTGTTACATGTGTAGGCACACTTAAAGCCCTAGTAACACTGTTGAAATTCATATTTTAAAGCCTGGATTTAGTCAAAACCTCATAAAACAAGTAACTTCACTTGACTGGTTCCTCTGCTAAACACTTTGCTGCTCACTACCTTTCTAGTGCCACGTATTTGAATTCCGAAGGGATTGTCATATGACAGCAGTGCCTACGAAGTCCCATATTCTCAAACACAGGACCAAGCTGCTGCTCCACAGAACCAAAAGCCATTAAAAATTTCTCCTTCAAGACACTTACAAATGGTAAAATACGCCAACCAGAATTTCCTCACTTCTTGTCCCCATTGGTCTAGGTCTGCTCATCCACACGTCTACTTACATTATGCATTCCTTAAGAGTGACATATTTGTGATTTGTGCCTGAGAAATGTGTTGCTTAAGGGACTCCAGAGCAAAACACTGTCACCTAGGCTTTTTGATAGTACAGTTATCATTATTAGAGCCAAGAAGAAAAGTTTGTTTCCACTCCTTCCGAGTCCTCTCAGGTGAACATCACCTCTTGCACTTGGTTTGCCTGCCATGGGGCCCATTTAATGCTCAGACACAGTCAGAGAATAGCCACTTCTCAAATCATGACTGGCACGGGACATTGAAAATTTTTTTCCCTTCTTTGTGTGGACTATGGAAGCTACCAAAGGAACAGGGCTTTTACAATTTACTCCCTTTCTGAAATTACTGAGATAACTTTTGCATGTGCTATGGTTTAACCCCTACCAGCAGCGAAGCCCAGGCAGCCACACATCTACTCTACCACCAGTCAGATCAGGGAGAAAATCAGAAAGGAAAAAGACAGTAAACTTATAGGTTGAGATAAAAAATGTTTAAGGGGAAAGAAAAAGCTGCTCACAGAAGCAAATCAAAACAAGGAATGAATTCCCTGCTTTCCATGGGCAGGCAGATGTTGCCATCTCCAGGACAGCAGACATCCATCACGTGTGATTTGGGAAGACAAATGTCATGACTCCAAATGCACCCCCCACTTCTTCTTTCTTCCCCTCACTTTATATCCTGAGCACAACGTGATATGGCACTGAACACCCCTTTGGTCTGTTTGGGTCAGCTGTCCTGGCTGTGTCTTCTCCCAACATCCCAAGCATTTCCAGTCTCCACACCAGCATGGCAGCATGAACATCAGAAGGGCCTTGGCTCTGTGTAAAGCCTGTTCTGTTGTCATCACTGTGTTCAGCGCAAATTCAAAACACAGTCCCACACCAGCCACTGTGCAGAAAATTGGCTACACCAGCCAAAACCAGCACTGCATGCTATCACCACAGCTACTTCTTACCATCTGAATGACTTGATTTCCCAAAATATCCATCCACCTTTTAATCTGAATTTAAAGCTTAACCTGTCACAAAAAAAGTAGAGGTTTGATATAATATTTTCAGCTTTTGAACTATTTCTAACAATTAATATAAATTTGAGGCAAAATAGAATAAGAACCTCCTTTCATGGAGATTGCCAAGGTTTTGCTTCCCTGTTCTTATTCTGTGTTGAAAGAACCACAAAAAATGCAATTGACAGTCTCTTTCTGCAGGGCACTTTACTGAGGAAAAGAAGCAGGGAAATTATTGCAATTAGTATTTCAAATCAGCATGCCAAAGTGGGTAGTCACACAAATAAACACAGAGACAGCAAGACATTTAGTCATGAACTCATATGTCAGTTTTACAAAAATTGTAGAGGAAATGGAGCTTCTTCATAAAATTGGGCTGAGTATTTATTATTATTATTAAAAAAAATATCCCACTGGATGGGAAATCTTTTGCTGTAAGTGCTATTACTGTTAATGAGAGAAATAAAAGACTTAATTTCATGCATATTTTATTTGAAATTCACTCCATCCATGAAATAATTTCACATAACAGTAGGTGGAATATAAACAGGCTAAACTGACATTATGTGCATGGTGAAGAAGACCAATAATCAAGAAGGTTTGTAAAAATAATACTTGAACAGTCCAATAGAAGTCTTCCTGTTCCAATTGAAGTGGAAACATGTAATCTAAACTGAGGCCGAGTCCTTATGATAAATATACACAACAGGTAGTGCAGTCCATTCTATTAATTTTGCAATGGCATTAAAACCAAGGGAACAGCTCTGCCCTCAGTGCTTGTGTGCAGCAAATCCTGCCTGCATGTCAAGAAAGATGTAACTGCAGCAGAACAAGGTTAATGCTTCCACATCAGACAGCTGTAGGAACCCACCAGTCTATTTCAGGAGTAGCTGACTCTTTTCTGAGCTGTAGTAACCCATCTGCCTATTTAAAGAGTACCTGACTCTATTCTCTGTAATGAGCAGGTGCAGTAAGAACAAAAAACCCACTTATTATCTGTGCCAGAAAGATGTTCCTGCAGATCTCATGTGAGCATGGTTCAGGCAACATCTGTGCTAAACCTGTAGATGCAATGTTTTGGGTTGCAGCCATGAAAGTCATATTCTGAATTGATTGTGAGGATCAGCTGTGGAAGAAAAGCTCATCCAACCTTGAGGATTGCAGTTCTTAAGAGGGTAGTGAATTATAACTCCCAGTTCAGAAATCTTAAAGGCAGATGATAGTGTAGTTTATCACCTGCCTCTTTATCTCTTTCCCCCTTTTCAACTTGCCTCTGCAGGGATGTACATGTAAAACATTTATAAATATTTTGAGATTCCTGATAACCTTGCTCTGACACTATCCTATTTTTTAATATAAATGTCCTTGCCTCTAAAAATTGTTGCCTGAAGCTATGTGACTCAAAATGCTGGATACCAGTTCAAGCAAGCTTAAATTGCAAACAATATATATGTTCAGAGCTATTACCAAGCAGGCCCTTCACTTCTTTAGGATTTATTTTCTGCTCTGAAAGGGAGATCAGACAGACACAACAGACATGTTCAAGGTGCCTCCTAAACTTTGTGTCATTGCTATGAACTCTCTATTCCATTATAGCCATTTCTTCAGATCAGTAACTTTGCCTTTTTTCTCAAGAACATGATGGATTGATTGCTATAGTTCACACAAAATGGAAATATAATCCATACCCACACTTTGTATGTCTTATTCCCAGAAGGTGTTTGAGTACTTATTAATGAGCCTTTCTATGCACTTTCTTCTGTGTCCAGGTAAAACACATCAGTCTAATGACAGAAGAGAGTTTAAAGGAGGACTTTGAAGAGAGAAAACCAGCAGACTGTTGCATGAAGAGAAAAGGCTGATAGAGCAGCAGTCATGCTGCACAGCCGTAGTGACTCAGTTGGTTAGGACATTTGCTAAAAGTATGCTAGGCTGCCCAAGAAAAGAAAATATAAAGATTTCTCCAAGAAAAAGGGGAAAAGGGGGGAAGGGAGAACTGACCAATAATATCTGGTGTCAAGCTGAAGGAAAGAAATGTTAGAGTTGTTGCTGCTTTCAAAGATGGCAACTGAAAGATGGTGGAGAATTTCAGAGAAGTTACAAAAGGAGAAAAATTAATAAATGCATATTGATTTATTTTTTATTCAGCATTTAAGAGAGTTGTGCAGAGAGGAGAGTCAGGAAAGGGATAGGCATGAGAATATGGGTGAGAGGTGATTGACAAAGGTGTACAGATTGTTCAAAAAATTCAAACAGACTAAAGTTGGTTTATATCTGAGTACCCAATAATGTGAGTTTTGGAAGGAAGGAACAACTATTTCTCCTTTTGTAATCTTCACTAATATCCTGGAAATGCCACATGAGTGACTGGGAATCCATCTCTGCATGGAAAAAAAGTCAAAGGAACAAGTACTGGAGAAAAAAGAAGCTGAGAACAGAAGTTATGACTGTCCCAAGATGTGGTTTAGGATGGAGCACACACAGCAATAATTTGAGTAATATCAAAGAATTAAAATAGTAAAATGTAAGTTAGAAATATTATTCTATTCCTCATTAAATAGCTATTTCACAAGTCTAGAAATGAAAAGTGAGCATTACATCTTAATTCTGCTCTTCTCTTTACAGAGTCGAGCGATCACACAATTCGGGTTCCAAGCCAAGTGTCCTGCTCTCCATTCACAAAGTAAAGGCAGAACATGTGGCAGCCTGATTAATTTAGTTCTGTACGATTAAAATAAAGGCATTGAAGGTAAGCATGCATCCAACCATCTTGTACCATGTGATTAAACTGGCAACGTAGTTTCAGATACTCAGGAATGTGGAATTTCCTTTTTTTTGTTGTTGTAGTTCTGGGAGCTTGTGTTAGGCTGGTTTCACTATGACTGTTCTAAAACAACTAATACAGATTTTACATTTTCCACTAATACTTAAAAACCTTAAAATCAGGTGTCACCTGTTAAAAAGTCCTTCTACTACCTCTGAGGTGAATGAGTGTGAATTTTAAAATGCCAGCTAAATTTATGTCTGATCAAATTATTACTTCAACATGTAAATCTTATATGGGATGGAAACTTAGATTACTTTGTATACAGATTTCCCAACTTATAATTATAATTGTGTGATTAGCAGGATAGAAGAAAACAGTAAATGATGCAAAGACAAAAGAAAATCAGAATAACTTCTCATTAATTGATGAGAAGCTCTTCATTATTGTTGCTACATCCAGAAGCAGCCTAATTTAGAAAATAACTATTTCAGAACAGTCTTTTCTGCGCAGCAGATTAGGTTTTGCAGGACCTCAAAGGAATTATGGTATTATCTCAGCATTCTGCTTACAATAAGTTTTTCAGCATAGAAATGATCAATGTATTGAAAAGAACAACAGAAGAACATGTGTCTGCTTTCCAATTAGTTACTGCAGAAGCTTATTAAGAAAAAAACCCCTGAAGGCATAAATGAGTTTGCTCACGTCTTTATGAACCTTTGGTGCTGATGAAAAAAAGAGGGAACATCTTACAAAGCTGTGAAACACAAGAATCAATATTTCTGTCTGACTTTAAGAAAAATAATAATTATAACAACTGAATTTACAAGTCAGAGAATTCCTTTATGAAATTGGTGAAGGGCATGAAATGCTGTAACATTTTTTCAATTTATTCTTTTTTCAAAATGTAATTGTGTTTTTCAAGCAAATATGTGTGTTTCTGCCCAGACAAGTGTAATTCAGAAAAGGGGATTTATCAATATTTACTCCAAGTTTTCTTTTTCCAGTAGACAGAAAGCACCAGGAATAGAAAAATCATCACTCATATCACTTCCTAATTCAAAGAATGTTGTCCAAAACTTGATTTAACACCTGCTTAAAAATCTCAATAAGCTTTTGTTAAACTAAAAATCTAGTAATCTAAAAAATGGCATTTTAAGTTCTTCATCTCTAAGGACTCTGCTCATTCTCACACAGATGTGTGGGTTTATCAGTTTTTCCATTTTGCTGACCATACAGCCTATAGTACTCCCACCGATCCTTCCCAGTCTTCACTCAAGCCTTTCAGAGCTGACATTTGGCTGTGCACCACCTTTCCAAGCTGCAGAGCAGGTTTCCCTCTCAAAGAAAGGTGTGTGATGATCCATCTACCATGTCATGTCAAGCCAAATTATAGAATTCAGCCTATATCTTGATTTTCACAGACTCATTTTTAAAGATGCAGGACAGTAAAGGTGCATGAGTACATTGACCACAGAGCACCTATGAAGGAAGAAGGAAAGGGCCAGACTGGGAGGAGTCATCTTTGGCTTTTGTAATTTCTCCCACTAATGTTTGCTTATAAGCCTTTTTTTGATATAATAGTTCTTCTATTTGTTGCTACTAAGGTCTCTACACCACACTTTAAGATTAAGAGAACTTGTTATGAGGACCTTAAAATTTTTCCTTTATCAGCAAGACCAACATTACCTCAGAAGCCATTGATAAAAGCTAGCGCTACCTGGTGCTCCTCCATCAAACACTTCCTGATCTGCCCACTCGGCAGTCCTTGGTACTCCAGTTCTTGAGGCAGATGAAATTTGATGATAATTTGGTGATTGGACTAGAACATATGTTTCTTTGTATATTTTTACAATGGACACTAATTCCACGGCAAGAATATGAGGTGTCTCTGTCCCAGGCAGAATGAGCCAAGGGTTTACCTTAAACTTGAACTGAATGAGTATGTCTGAAAAGCCTCCTGTTTCATAAAATGGAGGCCCAGTCAGACCTTTTAAATCTTTTCTAAAGATGAATTTGTAGTCACAGGCTTTGAAAGAAATAAATATCATCCAGCCTTTTTCACTTGTAGCTGTAAAATCAGGAAGGATGTGTTTGACCTGAATTTTCACCCATAGCTGAAGGGTGGGTCAGAGATTAAATGTAGCTCTGCCCCAACACTGACCTTTTATCAAACCCTGCCATGTAGGTACCACACAGCAGCAAATTTTCTGGGCTCACATGGTGGTTACTGACACTTAGTCAGGGCAGTCAATGAAGCTGACAAAGTGGTTTATCTGATCAGCACAGATGTCTAATGATTAAATGAATACAGCCCTAATTCCCCCTGACTTTCTTAAATACATCTTCATTAGCTCAAACCAGAATTTTAAGTTGTTAATTGCTTAGATATGAAAGCCACTCTGGAAATCATAAAACTTGCTTCCTGTTGAGCTGTCACCCAATGTGCCAAATACTCATACACAAGAAGCAATTTAGGCACATTGAGAGCAGTTGATCAAAGGAGGGAGTGAAATGTTGATTATTTAGGGGCAAAGGCTCCCTCAGAGACACACTCACAGTTGTGCTGGTTGTTCCTCTGGCCATGCTGTGGGCTCTTTGTGTGTGGTGGTACCAGTCATTGGTTTCTCTGGGTCTGGATTGAAGGCACTTGAGGCAGTAATTTATGTTTGGACTCAGGTGTTTATTATTTCTTATGAATAAAACAGTCTCACTACTGTGAGTTTGGCAGCTTTTCAGTAGAAGGCACAAAATGGCCAACAATCTCTTGTTTACAAGGTTTTTTAAGGCTAAACTAATGTCACCATTAGGTTGGACATGACATACACATGATCAGGGTCTAAGAAGAAAAAAGTTTTTTATTCTGTGTGTTTTCCAGCTTATATACTCTTAACAAAACGTGATCTTAAGTCATCAACTACATCACAATAACTTATTATATTCATTGATGCAAAGCAATTAACGTCAATATAATTAGCGAAAGTTTTACAGAAATTTAATAAGGCACATATACACATCTACTTATGCATGTAGTCTAGTTTACAAAAATCTTCACGTATCTTTTCTAATCTGTTTCCATGCTGACGGCCATGTCTTCTTCTTTGCTATAGATACACTGGAAAATCAATTGTTTCTCTTCTATAACTCAGCTTTGCTTGCAAGCCAGCTGTCAAGCCCCTCTATAAACTATCCAATTAAGAACTGACACCTAGATTATGTTCCCTTTTAACCCAATAACTGATCCCAAAGAGCCCACAATGGGGACTTTTCTCCCCAATTACAAAATGCCACCCAAACCCATGAAGAAAAAGGAAGAAGAAACATGAATAAGAAACCCAGGACAACACCCTGTGCCCTCCATCTTGCTTCCATCCACAGCACTTGTGGAGTGAGGGTTCTCAACGACATTATATTCCAGGGTGGGCAGCAAGAGAGACCTTGTGGCAGCCCTGGGGCTCACTCCTGCGCAGGCTGTGGGCACCAGCATGGTTCCTTCTGGAAGCTTCTGTCTCACCAGGCCCAGCCCTTCTGGGGCAGCTGTGCATTCCTACCCTTCCTGGGAACAGCAAATCTCTCAGGGCCTGAGGCTTCATCTCTTCAAAGAATGTAAAACCCACTGGAGCACTTGAATATACCTTTGAAGCTATTTTATTGACAAAACTCAATTTTTTCACTTTAAATTATTTTCAAGACCATGTCTTTCGCAGTGAAATTTAAGGTTCTTACTCAACAAAAACCAAGATTAAGACATGATTATTTGAACACATTCCAGCTACCAATTTAAGTTTTTTAAGAACATGGAAATACAGTTGTGAGAAGAGAAACATCTGGAAATAATGAGTATTATCTGCTTGATCAGCAAGGACTCTGAACTGACCAATGCATAAGAAATGTTAATGCAGCAAGAAGCAATCATATGCTAATTAAATGTCTTATTCTTCTTAAGATATGAATTCTGCTATGTATCTCTGTTTTATTTAAAGTCACAGAAAGCTTTAGGTTGGAAGGGATCTTTAATCTGCTCCAACCTACCTGCTATGAACAAAATTTCTGTATAAATAAGTGCAAGCAACACAGATTTCAAAGTTAAATATTGACTTCAGTGTCAAGTATCACTCACCAGAGCTACCAAAAAGAATCCAGTTTCATTAAACCTGTTGCATATACTTATTGCTTTCTGTGCTCTTGTTAATCAATTTGTTGCTTCTTAATACTGAGTAAACACTTGAATTATTCAAATATTTTTAGCACATAGTTTATTTTTATGTACCCAAAAGCCAGCCAAATTGTATTTTTCAACATCTGCTTGGAGCCTTGAGGATTTCAATAATTTCTTGCTGCCTTGCCTGTAACATCAAACACCTGGGTTTACTGTATGTTTTATTTATCTTGATGGATATTATCTATACTATTTATATATGACAAAAAAAATCCAAAGACTTCAGAATTGTACATCCCTACATTTAGGGTATTTTGAGGATAATATTCCCTTGTGCTTTTCAAGTAATTTATTTATTCAAAGCTTAGGTGAACAAGATTCTTCCTGGTAAATGCACTCATTATTTTAGAACAACTTCCAAATAATAAAAATTATGCTTAACTTACATTGCTCTAAATTTCAATGAAATATTCTCTTTGGTCTGTTCAAGTATTCAATAAAATTTTACAGATAAAAATTAATGCAGAATGTGTCTCTGTAGTTCAAAGTGGTAAAAACCAGCATAAGATTACAACTATAAAATGAAGAAAAAGCATGTGTGAATGGCCATTTAAGTGTCTGAGAGTCTGTCCATTTCCAGACTTCTTTTGTCCTCCACCCAGCAGGCCCTAATGTATTAACACCAAAACTCATTAATGGATTCCCTGACAGGTCTGGGTTTTGGTGCTGAAAACTTTTAACACAGCACAGCCCTGCCCTTCTCTTCCACTGGGGAGTCCTTTTTAGGGGATGTGAAGTGAAAAAATTGTGTGCTGTCTCCCCAAAT